TTAAAGACAATAAAGACATCAAAGACATTAAAGACGTTAAAGACATGTCAGGAGTGATCTGTAATAGAAGAGTGTCAGTTAGTTGAAGGGAAAGGTTTACAGGACGGTGGTGAGACCAGCCATGATGTATGGTTTAGAGACACTAGCATTAGGCAGAAGACAGGAGGCGGAGCTGGAGGTGACAGAGTTAAAGATGCTAAGATTCTCTTTAGGAGTGACAAGAATGGACAGGATCAGGAATGAGGTCATTAGAGGGACAACACAGACAGGAAGGTTTGGAGAAAAAGCTAGAGAAGCCAGATTGAGATGGTTTGGACATGTGCAGAGGAGGGACAGTGGATACATTGTTAGAAGAATGTTAGAATTGGAGCTACCAGGTAGGAGACAAAGAGGAGATATATGGATGCAGTGAGGGAGGACATGCAGATAGTTGGAGTCAGAGTAGAAGATGCAGAGAACAGGGCAATATGGAAATCAATGATTCGCCGTGGCAACCCCTGAGAAAAGGGACAGAGCTGAAAGAAAATAGACTAGATTTGCTATATATTTTTGGATGAGATGTCCTCACCATAAGACCAGTGGGAGCTTCATGGATTACTAAGCTTCTCAAGTAAAGCCTCTGATGCTCCAGTTTCAAGATAAGAATTTTGACCCCCATGAATTAAAGTCATATGGCCATATAGCCGACATATAGCATATTTGACAGATTAAGAAAAATCTATGAAGAGTGACAACTGTTGGTAAATCTTTGTCTTGTTACGGCATACAATACATTTTGTAGATATGCATAAAACCAGCACACAAGCCACAACAGGTATTACAGTGGGAATAAATTATTGGAATTGGATGGCATTGACATACTGCATTATGGTGAGCTTTATATATCAGAATGTTATCTAACAAAGATCATATAGATATATGTTGAGGTATTCTCAACATAGGTTTCCTCAGGACTTAGTGAGCACAGGAAAATGCAGGGAGTCAGAGCAGGCAGAATCATGCAGAGTATTGGCCAACAGCCTGTCACTGGCTTGAATCTGAACCTCCCAATCCTCAGAGACATGGTCATCCAAACAGGCTAACAGAAGAACAACTTCCCCCTGTGGGTCTACTGAGCATTTTTTCTTTTCTTTACGCTACTGTTCCCTTGAGACATTACAGACTGCACAGTCAGGTGACTGGAACATGATGTAATAAAAAATACATGATGTAGACCAGCAGTCACTCTATTTGCCAACAATTTTAAAACTTTAATTAACTAATTTTTTGTTTTTTGTAAAGGCCTTTTTTAAACTGTTCTTTAAGACGTGATTAATACAGGATGTTGTCTACTTCTGGAAGGGCCTGTAGGACAGACACACATTTGGATGCTGGCTCTAAATCATGCTTAAAAAATGAAGAACAGCTTGAACAGAGCAGACATTGACTTTTAATCTCCTTAAAAGTCACAACTCCCTGGCCAGGTCAACTGTTCGTTAACCCTCTAAATAAAATAAAGCTTTAGTTTATATACTTGGCTGTAATCCTAACTTCCTCCTGTGGGCAGTACACATGTAGAAATGTCTGAGCCAAAAAATGCTTTATATTGTAACTTTGTGTTGTTAATGTCACTTAACAACACAACTTCAGCTCCGAGACTTAGATGCATCTAAGGAAGGAAAGAGAACTTGTCATTGTGACACAGACACACACACGATATGTGACCATATGTGAACAGTGGGCAGCTTTAAGCACCGTCCCCAGCAGTGTGTGGGGACGGTGCCATGCTCAGTGCACCTTGGCAGCTGGTGGATTGGAACCTGAAGCCTTCCGGACCCAAGTCCGCTTGCTTAACCACTAAGCCACCACTGCCCCTAAGAGATAAGAAAACATCCTGAGAACAAACATCTACATCTCTGTGCAAACATCATCCAGACCCTTTGACTGTATACACCTCCATTGTTCCCATGTCAAATTGAGTTTTAGGAAGATATTTTAAGGTAATTTTAATCTCCATTACAATAGTCCAATGAGACAAATGGGATTTAGGACTCAAATAAAATTGACTTGACCCTCACAGCGTACATTTTCTACTGCTGGAGACACCATCATCCAGGAGCAGGGTTGTATGTCCTGAAAAAGCAGACATGTCAACTTTTATGAAGAAAGAACTGCAAAGTGAAAAGGTCCTCAGTATTTAGTAGTGAGACACTTGTTTGCAGTTGTTCTTTTGCAATGGAAAATATTCAGGGGGTGGGGGGTTTCTGTAGTTTCTTGTTGTAGGAAAATAACAAAGTGCCTAAAAAATTAACATTTTTAAGAAAGATGGGCGATCAGGGTTCATCAGATATAAGGCAGATCTAATGACTGACAGTGCTCCATCAATTTGGGAAATATCACAATTTTCTTTCTATATGTTAAACCATTGGAACTGGAGGCTCCTCCACTCTTGATTCATAAAGACAAGTTTACACGGTGGTTCCTAAATTATTTCAGCAGTACCACCTTTTGTGGATAGGACTCTTGTTACGCTCACTCCCTACCATTGACATATTCACAGCAATTGGTTCTGAATACCACCAACTTTTATCTAAAAAACTGATATTCTCATAGAAAAAAGGAAATAAATTATAAATCTGTGATCTCCTCATATTGACACTAATGAAAAATATGAAAACATTAGATTTATTTGTCCTGCCACCTCCAGCTCTCATATTAGCCCAAAGGGATAAACTATACAATATCTAATACTACAATATCTATGGTCTAAATCGAAAACTTTTTTTTATTTTGCTTTTTATCATTATCATTGCACAAAAAAATAAAACCACAAATAAACAAGGGGACATACTCCTGGAATTTAGTATGTCTCTGAATGACATCAACAGTTATTTTACAGCACAAAATCTGGGGCTTTCATCAAGACCATCGTTCAAATGTTAACCGGAAATGTTAACTGACAATATGAATTTAAAGTGAGAATAAAGCTGCTACAAGACGATGGATTAAGATTTTTCATGGGTAACTGAAGGCTACAAAAGCTCGGTTATTCCCAAAAAGCAAAATATCATATCATATAGTGCTATTATGAGAACCTGTGATATAATTTGAACAGAATAAGCTAAATCCTGCTCATTACATACTACAACATGCGGAATAAGAATGTGCAAGCCTGGACCAATTTATCGGAGAATGTATAAAATATTCTACAGAGACAACAACTAGGCATTGTCATACAGTTAGATTTCAGTCCACTGTCGTGCTTCAACATGTAATAAACCGGAGGGGTAACATTAACCAGCCTTAGCCACAATGCTAATCACAGGCTAACGTTGCTGTATTTGAAGCGGCTGGCTGAGCTAGCACAATGCTAACGATGCTAATTTGAATTTTTAATAGCTACTTAGAATGGCCAATGCGTGTTGCGTAACTCGCATGTACATTACGATACGAACTTTAATTGACAACAAATACTGTCATCTTGGTTATCGGAGAGAAGACATATGTGTTGTAGTTGGCTAACAAAAGGCAAATACTCATTCAAAAGCACTCCGCCCTGACAGCTCACTTCAGCTGCGCTCTGCAGTCAGGAACAACGGTTGCTGTATTCAACAGCACCGCAGCAACAAAGATCACCAAACAACCCTCTCTGTGGAGTGCAGAAGAAAAGACCGAATAAAACTTACCATCGCTGCGCTTTATCTCCACATAAGTTCCCACGACTATCTTCCCGAAGCCCGACGCCATCCTACATTACTTAAATAAAAGAGACAGGCAGTTGACTTTTTATAAGCCGGGGAAATGCAGCTGGTGTTCCGCTGTGTCTTTGGTTGGAGAGGAAGATGCAGGGCAGCAACAGAGATGAGCTAGCATTACGTAGCTGCTTTCAAACATAAGAGGCGGTTCCGGTCTGGGATTTCCAAAATAAAACATCTCTGTAATGACTCAACTTATTTGTCTTTTATTTATTTTGTATGTAAATTTAATTAATGTGTACAAGTTTCGGTGTGTAGTTTATTTCCCGATGCTTAAATAAAACAATTTACATATTGTTGCCATTAAAGGGACATATTCTGAAAAAGAAAGAAAGAAACAGGTCTTTCATTGGTTTCAAAAGTCATCACTATCTTCGTGGCATTGTGGGAAATGTGTTTAGTTCCCACTTAATAGTTCAGCGTAAATCCAAGAAGAATTACTAGACTTTGAATTGACTGTCAATTGAAGCATCCAATCAACTGCGGCGTCTTCAGTGGCTTTATTCTCTGTTGTCCCTTTAAAAAATGTATTCAGGTCTGTACTACGGAGCCCCTAAAGTGACATGGGGGGAGGGGACGTATCTCGTGCGCACTAGATACTTTCTCGTGCTCACGAGAAAGTATATCTAAGACATTTTGCCACACATACAGGGTAATACATTAAAATAACAAACAATCATGTGCAGTACCTACGGTTGGGAAATCTAAGATACTGGCATGTCATGCGTGACATATGTACTGTATACTGTATATGGTGAGCATTTAATTAATGTAGGGTACCTCAGTTAGACACAGGAGGGCACTGTTGTTGTTGTTGTACTGTTGATAACAGTGTAGGGAGGTTCGTGAAGTCTAAATACGTATATACGTAAATCATCCTAATCCTTCATCCTTCTGAGTACGCATACTAATAACAATCGCATCCACAGAGCCCAATATTTGTAAAATCTCACCATGACTCATGCCAAGCATAATGTACAGTTTATCTGAATCGTGTAAACGAGCCATATTCTTGGCTCGCAGGTGGACTTTCATTTCATTAGTTTCAATTTTATCTATAGACCGCATTTCATGCACAAAGCAAAGTCAGTGTGCTTTACAGACATCACGTAATTACGTGAAAGTTGTCACGAAATACACTGGTCCCTCTCTTATCGCAGTCGTTGAGATAGGAGGGCACAACAACAGCGCCCTCCTGTGTCGAACTGAGGTACCCTACATTAATTAAATGCTCACCATATATACAGTACATATGTCACGCATGACATGCCGGTATCTTAGATTTCCCAAACGTACGTAGTGTACATGATGTTTGTTATTTTAATGTATTACCCTGTATGTATGTGTGGCAAATCTTCTTCTTCTTCTTCTTCTTTTTCTTTTGGCTTTGTCCCTTTTTTTCAGGGGTTACCACAGCAGATCATTGATTTCCATCTCTCCCTGTTCTCTGTATCTTCTACTCTGACTCCAACTACCTGCATGTCCTCCCTCACTGCATCCATATATCTCCTCTTTGGCCTTCCTCT